GTCAGCTGGAGACTACAATATACTGCAGAGAGTGAATTCAACGACATTTTGTTGTTGTCAATAGTTCACATTACTTTACCTTGGAGACCAGATGGTGCTCTCCAAAGACGGTTATACGAAAAGCCGATGTGGTCGACCCAGTACACAAACGTACACACCTTTTTTGATATGCAGTATAAGCGATGCCAAGTTAAGTGCCTGACAAACAGGGCCCACAATACTTCCGCGCATGACACACCGGAGGACAAAAGAATTCTACTTCCAGGTGCCTGAAAGAAAACGTGCATCCAGATAAATCCGCATAAAACATCTAAGACAGACTGGAGCGTAATGAAGGAGTAGAATTCTTCTACTTCCTTTCAAGTGCGATGGAGCTTATTGGAATGTCTCAGGTGAACTGAATCTTTTTTTGAAAGAGCTGTTTATGCCTCGCAGCTTACGACCAACTTCAATGGTGACTACTTGTTCATAACCATAATCAAGGCTAAGGCATTGGCTTTTGGAATCTGTTCTGCCGTTTGCGAATGTGGCGGAAACTAAATGGGTCCTGCGACACTGCCCGTCCCAGAGAGTCGCCAGTATGTGATGTATTCAGCAAAACAAAGCATATGCCAAGTGCGATGGCGGCTTATTCAACTGATATGAATCATTTTATGAAGCAGCCAGACTGTTCCATGCGATGTATTGATGCCACCCAACCACTACAAGGTCACCAGTCAAAATGCACTCACAGGGGTGAATGAAGTTAGATTACCCAAACTCTACTGGTCGAGGTTGCTATGGATAACCAGTCGTTCCTCTCCGACCGGTTCCGACCAACCGGTGTAACACAACTCGCTTTCAGACATTCTTTGAAGGCGTTTTCACACTTTCGTGTACCACCTACTCATATTCATACATGTAATTGTTAGCTGACGTCTGACTAAAAACCGTTCGAAAAATCAAATTAGTTTGCAAATGAGTATATTTTGCTACTTTCGTAAAAGTGTTTTATGCCCGATGTTAGAGAATTATTTCACAGTGATTGAGTATGATATCTGAACCCAATTACGTGTGCACTACTGCTTGAAGATATTCATTCAATTCCGTACTGACTCAGTGAAGCGACCATTGTCACATTCCACAGTCGTATTCACAATCACTCATTCACAGGCTTCATATCAGCCTGAGAAATCGAAAATTATGTCAAGTATGAATGTACTAGCATTTCGAAACAGCATCAGGGCCCTAGTTAAAGGAGTATTTCTTTTAGATGGAACACATCCCCATCGTGTTCTTGTTGAATAAAGCAGGCACAGGGGAAAATTTTAGAGGTGGTTTTCGATTATGCCGCATTTACCAAAATTTGAACTCCAATCAATACTTTTCCGCATCTCGTTAGTGAGAGGAATCAACATGTATCCTTTCTTAAATGAGCAGTGTCTCACCAAGCGCTGTTCATAGTTTTTATGTGTTAGAAAACTTGTACTTGAACGCATTGATTTTGAAGTCACGTGATGCTTGCACATGTGAGTAGGGAAGGAAGTGCATTCGCATCTTTCGACTCGCAATAGCCCACTGTGTCTGAAGAGTATGCAAGTGTCGGTTATGAACTTTACTAGGTGGCTATCCTACACAGAAAACATTAGAAAAGTGCTTATTCTCTGGTTCAAATGATCACGCCTATAGTGTGAAACCAAAAACAGACCATTCAACCGCTGCGTCTATATCTTCTTGATCTGTGCTTACGATAACATTGAATACCCACCCATGACCTTTGGAATGGTGGACAAAGCCGGGTCACTTAGCGTGCTTGTTTGACCTCGGTCGAATGGCCCGAATAGAGTGATTGACGTTATTTCTGTCGCCACTGTGGAATGAATAAGTACTGTGCGTTTTCACTACTAAAGTAGTTCATCTGACTAGTAGTGTAATCATAAAATAATCGCATGTCCACAACAGGTTTTAGAATGACGAGGTCACAATTGGACGGATGGCCTACGTCTTTCTGCCTGATTGTTGGAAGTACACAATGCAGACGCAGAGAAGTGGAAAACTGTAGATATTGGACTTTAGACGACATGTGATGACGCCATTGTTTTTGGGCAAGCTGATCGCCTGAGTGCATTCCATATTTGGTGCCTGGAACTGACTCTTGAGTTCTAATACCACCGTTTGACTGCCTGTGACCATGTGAATTTCGTAATCCTTTTCTTTTGCATGTATTGGATGTACTCGGTCTGAAGTAGTTCAGCTAGCATAGGCTGGGTACGTAAGCTATGTATGTATATGGTACAAATCATCAGTTGATTGCGACAATGAGCTCGAGGGCCATCCAGAATGTTACTGAATTCCTTGGTCAGTTTTAGCTAAATTTCTGGTGGATGCTCAGTAGCAACTTGTGACCATTCATTTCAGCTAACTATAAAGACATTTTTCTTAAAAAGACGACCAAATATTCACTAGCCTCAAACAGGCATCGATTATGGCTGACCTTTTTGTGCATACTGGCCCCCTTTAAGCTACACCGATCTATATGACTTATAATGCAAGTAATTCAGCTCTACTCTGCAGGTTACTGTGTGCTGGTCGACTAAAGGAAATGAAGGGATTATCTAGGAGAGTTCAGTTTGATATCCAAGCGCTAGAAACACGGGTTTGTGGCACAATTTCAATGCATGTAAATGTCTTTTCAAACCAGATTTGCGAGGCGAACCCGAACCTTAGTTCCAAGCTAGGTCAGTTGCAGATGGATTTCCAGTAGTGTAGGTCGGTCAACAGAATGAAACTTCTTCCTAGAAAATTTCGATTCTCTTATCGGATCATCAGCTTTGTTCATCAGTTCAGCAATGTTTCAAGCGGTATGACCCCCCATAATATGCACAGGGTTTCATGTTAAAGCAAGCCAACGTACGGATACGACATCAGCGAGCGAAAACTGCACATGAACATTCGACCAAGCCCCGGATTTAAACTATTTCTGCACCCGGAAGATGCAACACTGTCCCTCTTTTTCAATGTCAATTTGTCGTCCACGATATAGGCGTTGACAGATCCAGGTATGCATCACAGTACCATTCAAAGATCACAGCATACACTAACCCTGGGCGTAGAATAGATAAAATTCTGCGTGACAAGCTCGCTTTCTTTACTCGGAGAGGAGGTAATGGACCCTGGAAGATCCATTTTTACCCACTAGACAAGTTTATCACTGATGTGAATTTTGTACGGATTTTAAAAGCCATCTTTAAGAGCACGAAACATTTCATGGGCATTTACACACGCCTGATGAAACTATTAATAGGTGAGTTACTTTTCCGATAATGATCGTCACTAGTGACAATATCTTGAGTATCGATTGTCTGTTTGCTCAAGCGAACAGACAATTCATTGTAGGAATGAGGGAATTTGATGCCTCAGTTGATCACGGACGCTAATTCGGACGGGCAGTGACTACATACAGGCTAGATGTGTCTAAGTAATTGAATCTTAAGCAAAAACTAGTTTTGTTGGAAAGACAGGCGTTTCAGACTGTTTGGTGCGCCGTTTAGCGTCACTGGCAGTCGATAGTCAGGAAATACAGTTTGAAATGAATTTCTGATGATTACTCTGGATCTGTTATCGGTCATCCCAAGCCAGTGATGGGAATATTAGCTCACAAGTAAAATCAACAAGTGAACCGATACGTCGCTCTTTTCCATAGAGATATGGTAGTGTCTCGCTCAGACCATCAAACTGCAGTGGTTCATTAGAATTTAGGCCAGCCTACTTCGCATTGTGAGTTGAACGGCCGTATGCGCATAAGGCAATTTTCCTTATGCAAGACATCTACTCACATCTGGATTTCTGTTCACCCGTTACAACCTTGGGCTTCTAATCATCGTGCGAAACAATGTTTCGGCATGCTGAAGGTTGTGGTCCCGTTGCATCAGCTTCTAAGGGGTTCGAGGGAGATTGTAGGAAACCTTGCTGACACTTTTTGACAAGAAAAATGAAGCCAATTTGAAAAATAAACGTTTGGTTGAATTTTTGCTTATACGAAATTCCACTTCGTTGACATTTTATTCTTTACATGCCTCAAGAGCCATGTTGCCAAACGTCATCGACGCTGGGCTAGTACATTTCTGTGTTACGAGTTTAGTTCAACTCAAAAACCAACCTCACCATTTTGACATGCCAGTGCACTTTCGTGCTTAAATTACCAGCGACATTTCAACCATGGAGACAAAAATGGGGTAATTGCATCCGGTTTAACCCGAATGAAATCCAAACAAGTTTACTCCTCGGATCCACTCACTATTTTTATATCGCTGTTGTAGCGATTGCCATGCAGATCACGATTGATTCCGCTGTAGGGCGTCATTTATTACTGTCGAATGGCCTATGATGGTATAGATGAATCTCAGCAGTTACTTATTCACAGGAATGTTTCAAAATTCCTGGATGGATGTCTAATTTCGCGAAGCCGAGTTGTCATTTCCATAACAATTTCAGTGTGAAGTATTTAAACAGTTTTGCGAAAAAGATTGTGGGATTATCAGAGTGAAAGATCAAAGTTATGCCTATTGCCTTCCTTCTAATTTGAGCTTTGAAAAACTTGTTCGTTGCCAAGCACAGCATGTAGATATAGCCGAATCTCCTACTATCAAATTTTGCTAGCCGAATAAGGGGGTATATTTTGGAAGGCGGGGAGACCTTGCCTGGCAATTTGATTATGATAAGCACATGAAGTATCATGAATGCACCCAAAGGGCTACAGAACACACATCAAACTGTCCGGCTGACCACGATTTCCGCGACAGAACGTTGTTTGGTCACTGTGACCACTCCGAGCATTTTTAAGTCTTGTTCAGCAATTTCCAACGGAGTTGATTACTGCGGATTAATGCTTAAAAAACAAAAGTCCTGCAACTATAAACCAACGATTCACTAGAGGCGAACCGATCAACTCATTCAAGCGCTGCTATGCATGATGTCGCCCCAAGCAGTTATTACTTCTTCCATGGTGTTCGCGAACGTACCATGGACCATATCGGTTGGCTTGGATGCTATTGGCCTCACCAAACTCAAGATCATCAAACACATTGCGTAGTACGGTGTAGACAACAGCTTTTTCATGCATGCTCTTTGCTGTATCGGGCAGGTTGAACTCAGGATTGATGTACCATGCCTCCATGTTAGCTGCCAGTATGGATGTAGCTGACTGGCGTTTACTTCAGTGGACGTAGCCAGTCAACGATGGACTATCTGATATAAATATCCAGCCTTTTTGGGGTTCTTCGGTGAACTTGGCTGAGCATGAGTTAATGTGCCGATCTTGATTTTAGATGATTCTTTATGACCTCCATCCGTTTATGTAGTTTCAACGCGCAAGGCAGAGGACGCAGAGGACAATTTTTGCAGCTGCTCTCGTCGGTTTAAAACCCTTTTTTCATTAAAAGTAAACAGAAGTCTAAATAAACCATGGTATCTTCCGGTGAGCAAGGAGTTCCAGGGCAAAATAAATGAGTTAGACTCGATCCGCCTTTGCTTGATTTCTGTTGTCCCAGAAAATCTTTGCTTCCATCTTTTTAGCGCTAAATGTCACCAAACCATTCCCAACACGTCCTCAGCAGCTTCATGTTTCTCGTTGGATTCACATGACCTTCTGCACAGATGACACAGGATTCAGCGAAGACAAACTTATCCACTTAGTTTTCATGCAAGTGTAGCTTAGTTGCGGCATCCTGACTTAGGTAAACCTATCCATCCTGGGAGAATAGCCTAGCTGTTCTGTGGAAGTTAACACTCAAATGAGGAAGGTCAGTAAACGCAAAACTTGATTTTAAAGCAATCAATCACTGAAGAATAGGAAAGCAAAATGCGTAGCGGTGAAGTGGTTTTCAAACCACCGTCACAAAGTGGAAGAGCGAATTTGAGTGAAGGCAGCTGCACTCTGTGGCTCCAGCAATCAATAGACACGGAAGTTAGTCTCAGTTGGTCGGGTAAAGTCGGAATTGGGAGCACCGGAGCTCACGTAACACGGGCGCGACATAACTCTCAGGTAATCGCAGCAAGTTGGAATAGCTTTGGAATCGAAGCGTCGAAGCTTTTTGAGTCTGAGCATGACTAAATCTAGGGGCTTGTGGTCCATTGGGCGGCTTACGCAATTCACATTCTCGAGTGGACCCCGATCCAACGGTGGTTCTGCGTGACTTGTTTGGCTATCCACTTGTTTTAGAGCAGAAAGCGTCTGTATCCATGCTTTGCGATGCCCAATGTAAGTCACAGTTTTTCTTGTGTGACTTAGCCCACTATCCACTGAGTTCAGAAGACGCTGCTCCTTTTGGCAGCGTCTAGTTCTAGATAAATTGGGAGTGGTTCGATTAAACTGTGCTTGTTTAGCCGCTGAAGATGACGTCGAGAAGCAATTTTCCACGGGTGTGGAAATTTCCTGGATGTCTTGAGGTCCGAGCGTGGCAAGGATTACTCCGGTGTCATGATACCTGATTACAAGCTCCAGGAGAAAACCAAAAGTTCATTTCAGCAAGCGAGCTGTAGGCGTTGCATTGTAAAAGTAACGTGGTGCGATCCATGGTTCGTTGTTACAGGTGGTTCATCCGTCAGAGTAGAGAGTAGAGACGTAAATTCGACGGTTGAATATTAGGCCAGCTCTCGATGTGCAATATTTGTAGGAGTTTTCATACGCGAAAATCTAACAGTCTCTATCGTGTGCCGGTTAGAACGAGTACAATCGCAACAGAAGGATAATGCTGTTTATTGTAGAATGCAGTCGGTAAGTTGAAATTAATGTGTATTCTATAATTGTTGAACACTTAGCTCAACCGAACTGATATCTGGACTACTCATTCAGTACAGTGAGGAGGTGGTTTAGCGGGTTGGCTTTTGGTTCTACTGGCTTCCGTACCCTTATGCAATTTTCGTGTGTACTAACGGAAACATTTAAATCTCATTCTGGTGGTTTGTTTTAAGTGGTGATAACCAATCAGTGAACATTGCTTGATTGGCAAAATACACTCATTTGCAAACTAATTTGGTTTTGCTGGAAACTCACTTGAAACACAACTGACTCTATAGCTTATGATGTTTTTAAACGACTAAATATACCGCAACAGACCGCCTCGTGTTTCATTTGGTACGATATTCGAGATATTGCGATACTTGTATAGGCTTGATACGCTACTCACAGGGTTGCGGAAAATTCTTCGACAACTCTCGACCGGTTCCGCCTATGTTAGTACTCAGCAGTTAGACCCAGTAATTGGGCTTTCGTCAACATTGAAACCAAACTGGACAGACTTTAGTTTGGTCCCATGTCAAAACTAGATGAATTTGCAAATGAGAGTATATGTTCAAATGATTTGAAAAAAGGCGTGCATTTTGGAATCTTGTGGGAGGTGAGAAAGCGGACCTTTTTTTCTCAAGTTATTATCAGTAAGCTAATTCTCGATGTTACGCAGACTGGGTTGTATTTGCAGTTATTCAGCTTGATGAGAAAACTAGCTACACATCAACACGTTGTTCCGGTGAGCACATGACTGTGGACTGAATTAAGTAAAAAAACGAACAATTTACAAGCAGCCGGAACAAAATGTTGAAAGCATGCATATTTATATCTACGGATAAACAGACTGCCGGTCCACAAAATACCTATACAGTGCGTTTCTAAGTAATATTCTGGCTGACAGGCACAAGTGATCTATATGAAGCCCGAAAAAAGGATAATCAATGACCGGGCGCGAAAACATTGTCTCAAATCTTTTTTGTTGTTCACTGATTTCAGTTTTACGGACAACCTGACGGAGGTCGCAACTCTACTTTTGTTGAGTAAAGGATAATTTGACCAGAGGAAAATTGGCGATATCCTGGTATTCAGACAAGATGAATGGCTTGGGTGAACACTAAAAGCGTATAGTTTGTAAGCAAGTGTTTGACTGACGCTTTTTAACTAAAGGCGGTTGTTTGGGCCTTGTTCAAAATGGCAATAATTGCGGGTCCTCATGGATGGATCGGTGCATTTTCAAGACAGACGCCCTGTTAATTTGCTGCTTTTGGGTGTCTAGGCGAAACGCTCATGAGCTAAGTTTATTTCTTATGCGGAAAACGGAACGACTATATCCACCTCTCCAGCTGCAAGATGTGTTGTGTACGCACAAGTACAAAAATCATTCTTCAGCGTCCGGCGTTGGAATCAGTCAAATACGGCTGCGCTGGAGGATTGAGCGTACGTGACTTATTAAACTTGGGCGTCTGTTGAAAAGCGAACCTTAGAATACCGTCTTTGCTATTCCTTTTCTTATTTTTTGAAGCAGGGAAAATCACCCTAGGTTTTGCTTCTGAGGAGACACGGTCGGCTGGAGCAACCGGATAAATGTATCTTAGAGGGATGCCAACATACATCTCGGACAAGGTGACCAACTATTTCGAATCTTTTGAGATCCTGAATGGTTTGCGTTGATCTGCTGAATGGTTTCAAGGCGAATATATGAAAGTTTACTCTGAGAGATTCACTGTGAACCCTGTGCTTACTGTCCTGCTACATTAGCAAGCACTGGTACAGTGACCGAAACAATTGTTTCGAGCAAGCTATTGGTTGAGGCTAGAGGGGTTAATCTACAACTTGGTTGTCTAGCACGATGATTTATATGATACCAGCTGAGCTATAAACCAAGGTGTGGTGCTGACGAGATACACCATGCCTTTCATTATTTAGTTCATATGTAAGAAGCATTATCTTGCACAATAGTTGGAGGTTAGGTATTCCGGCAAAACTAATCTCACCTAGTCAAAATATCCACGCTATTTCTTCTTATCAAGCGTTCCGAAGAACCATACGTCTTATGAAACCACCGAAAGCCACGAATCTTTGAGCAAGGTTGAAAGGAAGGCGAGTTCGAAATAATAGTTGCAACTACCCTTCGGGATCCGATTGCATTCAAGGAGAGGTTAGCGTACAACATGTGCAACTTTCTTCATGACAAGCTGTTTCATTGCCATGGCGATTGCACAGGTTCATAGTGAATCTATTAAAGTAAATTTCCGTATACTCGACTCGGGACCATTCAGCAGATCGAAGCAAACCATTCAGGATCTCAAAGGATTCGAAATAACAGAATATAAACTGGGTCACCTTATCTGCGATGTGTGCCTTATAAAAATGGATGAGTGATTGCTAACTCATAATAAAAATGGAATATATAACTCTCCCCAGATCATGTGAAACAAAGCACAAACCAGAACACCGCAAAACACGGCACAAGGGTTTTTATGATCCAGATTATCTTTTCTATGAGGGCCGAAATTTAAGCCAAAATTTTTACCAGTCCAGACTACATGCCCACTAGTGCTAAAGACTTAATCAGTGGGTATCGGGTTTCCATTATCACCATTAATTGTGATGCACGGTTGGCCACCATCATCCCAAAACAGCGGAGAACTAGCAGCCACTCGCTATATATTCTTTCAAGCATCTTTTGCTCTTTCAGTTCCGTAGTTTGTTTTGGCTCACTAAGCGGAATGCGAGTGAGGCCACCTATTCTTCTGTGCGCTGGTTCAACTCACATTCTTCAAATGTGTACCACTTACTTTCAAGGCAGCTGTCCACTGATGGCATATGATTGGGATGAGAAGATTCGAACACAGTGTAACATCACTGACCAATGAAGCATGTTTATCGAAATTCCATTGTAGCACAGATTGAATAACCCTTTCTCCACCGAATTGAAGTGACTAATGGTTGACTGGACGTCTATCAGTTTGGATGGACGTTTTTTTACCTCCAGTGCGATCAAAGTTTGCATTATCTCAGTCGACTCGGTCACCAAGCAGTGAATGAAGCAGTAATCATCTGATCAAAAAGTATGGAATAGTTTGCTGGTTTGTAGATGAATTCACAGATGATGCACGGCCCAAGCCATCTCTGGGCCTGTGTGTAAAGTGGCCTCTACTGATATTCGTGCGCACAAACTGTATGAATCAAATACGGGTAGCCTTACACGCTGCATTTGATACTAGGCTACCTAGCAGAAAGGGGATAGGTGAAACCGGTAAAAATTGAAACCTGTCACGTAGTTTGTTCTACGTGCGAGGGGAAGGCAGAAAAAAGTAGTGTCGGGGATACCTGCTAGAAGAATACTGATAGAAACAATTACTGAAGGCCATTCGGTATATGCTGAT